AGGTATAGCGGCAGCAGAGCGGACCGGACCGGGGACAGAGGAGACGACGAGGCGGTCCAACCGTGGAGAAACGTGCGACTTCCGGGATCGATCAGGCCGCGACACTACGACCTGAGGCTGGTAGTTCACATGGACAACTTCACCTTCTCTGGAGAAGTCAGCATCGAGCTGGAGTGTGTCAACGCCACCAGGTTCATCGTGCTGCACGCTGACCGCCTTGAGGTACGAGAAACTGTCATTTAATGTGTCCTCAGCACTGTCGCCAAATATCTGAAGTGATTTTAAGACCGAAAACCTGGTGATAGAAACTGGAAAAGGAGACTCAGAGCCATCTTGTTTGATGAACTCTTATTGGCTACTGTTGTTTCACAGTATGGAAATGTCACTCAAACGTAGACTCAAAGCCATCCTGTCTAACGTTAGGTCTAAGAAAACTACTTTCTCAGAGTTTGGTCTGATATGATGGTCAAAGTTGAGAAACGTTTCTGTTACCAAACACAATCAACTGTTAAATGTCTCGTCCAGCTCCTAATTTATTCCTCATCTCTTTTTTTTGCGTTAAGTCCTGGTCAAACATCCTAATAATTAAATCAGGACACAGGAGCAGTGGGTTGAATTATTTTCCAGTACGTCTGGGGAGCAGGGTTTTTGATGCCTGCTCAACATACCGTCTGTCCAGAACAGGTTTCAAACTGGCAACTATAAAGTCTGATCAAATAAATTTTGGTCATGTGGTAAAATCAGGATGTTGAGTTAGGATTTCAGCTTTTGTTGAAGCCAGAACGATTGGTTTTTAAGACTGACTGTAACTCCAGAGTGCTAAAAATGAACCGAATTGTTGCTGCCAGGAATATATATATTTAGTTGTTGTTTTTTTTTAAAAAAAAACAGGTTTGGTGAGGATGAGAAACTGTCACTGCAGCTGGACTGTATATTGGTCATTGTTAGTTTATGTTCTCCAAATGTAGTTTTTTTATTTTATAAAACCTTTTATCCTGTCAAAGAATACAATAAAGAGTACAAAAAAAAAATCTGTGAACGCTGTAGAAACGAAGTGATACATTCTGAACGCTGAGCACTTTGGTCATTTTCCTGTAGTTGATGAGCTCACAGGGACACAGCGATCACCGTTGTTTTTCAATCGCTTCATTCAGAGTTACCCTAACGACACAATCGGACCACACGAGGCAGTAGTCGACCAGCGGATCCTGAGGCTCTGTAGCTATAAATCGGCGTATGAAGTGTTTTACAAATTTTGATCTCCAATCTCCAAAGTCTGGAGTGATGAATGCCTTGCATTAGCATTCACGCGAATATTTTTTTTCTTGCGTTTTGTCCGATCTTTCGTGTGCGTTTTCTTATAGAACTGCTTATCATTCTAAATCAGGCTGTTTTTGAGCGCATTTGGATCGCAATATGTAATCACCATCTTTAAAAAGGAAGCGCGTTCTTCCTTCATATCGGGGGAACATTCAACCTAAACCGAGCCACACAGGACAGAATGGGACTATCATGACAAACTGTGTGGAGTGAACGGTGTGTGTTTTAAAACCTGCAGAGATTTGACTCAGTAATGACTCCCGTCCCAGGGGCTGTTCATAATGGAGCTCTATATATTCTACATAATCCCCACCCTTGTCAACCAATCGGGTGACAGATGGTCAGGGTTGGTTCTGTTTGCCCGTGGATGGGTGCATTCTTACGCCGCTCCCTTCCCTAACTTTTACCGACCTTTTTCTTTCAAAACAAACCTTCTGCGTCCGCTGTGCTCTTCTCTGCATGACAGAATAGAAAAGGAGAGAGAGAGAGAGAGAGAGAGAGAAAAGCCGCTTTCTCTCTAACAAAAGAATGTTTATTTTCAGTTTTGGGCCTCGGAGGTTTTTTCTTAACGAGACTAATTAACAGTCAAAGTTGCAGCTTCAGCCCAATTTTTTTGGACAGCGTCGGTGAGAGGAAAGCCTCAGAGAACGGCCTGAGCTGCGTGGTTTTTCAGGCTGGTCATCTCACACCAATGTGAGTCAGACCAGGAGAAGAGAAAGGAGGGGGTGGGGGTGGGGGGGTCTGTCTAATTTAGGGAGAGGCCAATTAAAAAGCCCTCACCCTCTGTTGTGTTGGTGAGGATTCAGAGGTTCTGCTCTCCTGAGGTCTCCTCACCGTTAATGCACGGTGAAAAGAAACGCTGTCAGGATGGGTCAAGGCCAAAAAAAAAAAAAAAAAAAAAAAGAAAAAAAAAGGTTGGTTGAAAAATAGGAGCAGCTGCAGGATAACAAACCTGCAAGAAGTGCTTCATTTTTTCCAGGATTTATAAAGTCATAGGTTCAGAAATGTGGAGTTCAGAGAAAAACAGGGTGGAGAAGGACAACACCTCAAAAAAACAGAAGCCTCAGTGACCTGCTGAGAAGTTTCCAAAACATCAGTCCACATCTGGATTCAATGTCCATCTCCACTTTCTATTACAAAGTCCAAATGAAAAAAAACCCAACAGATTTAGAAATGTATAATTAGAAATTCAAAACTTTTTTTTCCACATATGTTAAATTCATGTTCGTGAGACCAATCATTTTATGTGTTATTATGCGTGTGGTTGTCTTAAAAAGTACCGATGTTTTTGGACGGGTAGTAGGCGGTGGTCCAATTCCGTGCAGGGCGAGTAATTAAAAAACAAATCTTCTTTCTTGATTTTCCAATTCTAATCCAGCATCCATTTACATTTGCAATACATGGTTCAGTAACTGTTGAACCTGTTTGGCCAAAAACTTGCAACTGGAATGGTTTGAGTTTGACAGCCCTGCTGTAGTCGAAACTGCAGCTGCTGCTGCCTCCTGTGGTCAGACAGAAAAATTGATGTTCATCTAAAGTAAATAAAAATTTAACTGAAAATTATTCTATTTAACTCGATAGCAGATGTTGGTCCGGTGCTGCCTCGTGTGGTCAGTCTGAGCTGGCACAGGCAGGAATCGGATTACGATTTTCCTTTCCAAATGCATTTTTTTTATACAGGCAGCAGTGAATCAGCAAACTTCTTTGTGCCATGTAAAATGCTAAGTTCCTTTTTTTTTTCTCAGTTATCTTAAGTGTAAATGAGAGCTGGAGGAACTCGGGTTTGCTGCAGTAAAAACCCATTCTAAAGTGACTTTAGTGTCGATTTTATGGTGCCAGAATTCTTTGACTTCAGGCAATGTTTGATTTCTGCTAAAAAAAAAAAAATAAAAAAATAATAAAAGCCTAAATGTTAGACCGAGTGACTTCATCGCCCGCAGTGATACGACCCAGAACAATATTAATAAAGTTGGGTTCAGAGCAAATTTGGAGTGGTCAGTTGTTTGTCAGGGATCGGTGACAGATGAGAAATGAAACCAACCTGGAAAAACTCAATTAGAGAGAGCTTTGGACAACATCACGGAGCGTGTTGGTGGGTTGCTTTTTCAGCAGAAACAACGTATAGAAATATCCTTTCACTGTTGGCGTATCCTTTAGGCGGCAACGGCAGCAGCAGCAACAACAGCAGCAACAGCAGCAGCAGCAACAGCAGCGTTTGTGTTCATATCGATCTCCTCATTCATCAAACACAGTCTCACTCTCCATCTCACACACACACACACGCACACACACGGTTTCAGTGATCACTAATATGTGACCAACCACAGACCTGTCACAGTAGCCAGTGCTATCATGTGACCTCTGTTTATCTGCTGAAATATTACAGGCAGTATTTCACATTTATTACACTTACATCATCATCATCATCATCATCGCTATTTTCACACTTCACATCTGGATTTGTTTTTCAAAATTCCAGATGAAAAAATTGTTTTTCTTTTTTGCGAAGGAAACAGAAAGGAACTCTAAAAATGAGCGACTCTTGACATTTATCACCACCGATCATCGCTCCTCGACTGATCAGCTCTTATTGTTTAAATCAGGAGCGTCAAACTCATTTTGGTTCAGATGTCAAGAGGGTCGGACCAGCGCAGTCATAACATATTTACATACAAATAACAAAAAGTCTGTCTTTTTCCCCATTGTTGAAATGTATTTTTTGTGTGTGTATTTTTTTTTTTTTTTTTAAGTCGTTGAGTGGGCCAGATTGAATCCCCAAGCGGGCTGGTTTTGGCCCGCGAGCTGTATATTTGACACCCCTGTCTTAAATCAATTATTTGTCTAAATATTACTCCATATTTATGTTGTACTCCATATCAGCCTCGGTCATCAACTGTAAGCAGTAACACAAAACTCCATGGAGATTCTACTTGTCTTTGACATCAGACAGAATCACGAAACTCCACCCACTTCTTTTTTTTCCTTCTTTGTTCAAACCTTCTGTCGTCCAGTGTCAGCCTTGTTGCCACTGGAACTAATTTGTTTTGTTTCTAGTTTTCAAATTGCATTCACTTCATTATGAAATATAAACCAGTTCATGGAAAAGTAATTGATGTTATAACAAGTAGCGCTGGAGTCTTTCTGGTCATGTGATGTAACTTTATTTTCTGCTATTTGTTATTTTCCAGAACCGTATTAATGAGCTTCATATAAAAGCCAGTGTAAATTCTTTCTTTCGTTTCTGTTAATTTACCGCTCTCTGTTTTTCTTGAACTTCGCGGCGTATACATTTTCATGTATCCAATTAGTACTATCAAATATTTTTAGTTTATTTTATGTATCCAATTAGTACTATCAAATATTGACGAATTACAAATTCGGTCAAAGTTCCCTAAAAATGGTACTGATTTACTGAACGGAATCTGATCCATCTTGACGTCGTTCCTGCGATTTAGCATTTTAAGTTTTTACTGAAATTTCGAAGGGATGGCTCGATCTGATACTCATGATCGGTATCTATCCGATATTGGTCAAAATTTCAGGATCGAACATGAACCCTCCAATCCAGTAGCCTAGCCCAAATGCTAAACCTAACTTTCTGATTGATATCAGTATCGGCAGAAACTCCGGTATCGGTAAACTAGTATTTCCGATTGATATCAGTATCGGCAGAAACCTCCAAGTTTTAGTATCGGTATCGCTCATGATAAAGTTGTATCGAGCGACCCCTGGTGTCCGCCCTTCAGAATAACCTTTTGAATCCAAATAAAAAAAACCAACATTTTACCGATTTTCTTTTTTTTTTTCTGCCCTCAACAGGTGGACAGAGTGTCTGTCACGGCAGAAGGCGGCGGCGGCGCCGGTGGCGGGCGTCCAAACAACCCACCAGGGGGCGGCGTCCTGCGCGTGCACCGCCATTTTACCCACGCGGCCAACCAAATGTACGTGGTGGTTCTTCACCGCGAGATGAAGCCGATGAGGACGTACCGTCTGAACGTCAGCTACGACGCCGCCATCGAGGACGAGCTGCTGGGCTTCTTCAGGAGCTCGTACATGCAGAACAGGGAGAAGCAGTACGTACACACACACACACACACACACACACACACACAGAAACACGTTTCTCATGCAGATTTGACAGAACTATTGAGTCAGGTGATTTCTGTGTGTTTTGGTGTAGATATAGTTTTACACAGGAAGCTGATTCATCATCCTGGCTATAAAAACACACACCTGCTGGAGAAGAGAGTGTGTGTGTGTGTGTGTGTGTGTTTGTGTGTCAGATCAGATTCTGTTCCTGCTCTTCTATTTAAGGAGCGTCGGAGAAGGCTGTAGTGATGACATTAGGAGATAGAGCGTGGAGTTGGAGGAGATAAGGACACGGAGAAGCTTGATAAGGAGCTGCTGTGGTCGGTCCAGCTGGGCCCGCGATCGTCAGTGTTTCCACAGATACGTGCGGCGGCTCGTTGGCACAGCCGCTGGTTCACTTAAACTGCTGTAGGACCCATAAAAAACCCATAACCATGCGGTAACTATGTGTTTAAACCTGAGTTTAGATGAAAAAAAAAGAAAAGAAAAAAAAAAACAGAAGAAAGAAATTGGTGCTCGCAACGCGAAAAAAAATTTCCAAGTCAGAAAAACCTGTTTCCAGGTTCAGGTTTTATTGTTGTGTAACAGGAGCAGCCGCAGTTGAAAAGAAAGAAAGAAAGAAACTTAAAGAAACAGTAGAATGGACACAGTTCTTCTTCTAAAACTTCTAATATTATTCCTCAGTTCACAAAACATAAAAACATTTCATTAAAAATTAAAAAAAAACATAAAACATTTTTTTTTACTGTGTTTTGAATCAACCTCTAACTGTCTGATTCGCCGACAGAAAAAAAAAAAATCAAAACATGAAGTTTGAGACACTGCCGGTGAGAAAATCTGCACCTGGAGAGAAAGTCCGACACTTCTTATCTTGAAATTTGTGTGTGTGTCCGAGTGTGTGCGTGCGTGTGTGCGTGCGTTTTATTGGATTTCCACAGTATCTGCAGTGAACAGCTCCGTTGGCTCAGTTAACCCTCTTATTCACTCACTGTGGAGCATATTGATCTGCAACGACTTCTCGCCACGACATCACTCAAAGACAGAGAGCAGACTCGGTTCTGCCTGCTGTTGCGATAAGAACCTTCTCACCTAGCCTTCGTTAACTTCTCATTAATGCTTTGACGTGCCGTCCACCACTGCCTCATTAGTTAACAGACCAGAAGCCTCTGTCTGATCAAACCATGATGTGTTTGCGTCGACCTAAAGACGCGTCTTATGGATTTATGTCCAATGTTGTTACTACCAGATCCAACAGAGGGTTCTCAAACAGCGGTTCTGGACGTAGTCCATTTGCAAAAGAAGATAGTATTGCTGTGTTGTTTCGCTCTTGACAAGCAGCTACGTAAGCCTCTTCACCAAACTGAGTGGAAACGAGGCACGTTAAGAAGAGATAAGAAAACGTCAGAAACCATAAGAAAGATTCTGATTGTACGAAACAAAAGAACTCAAAAGGAAAACGTTATAAAAGCAGCTTTGAGATTCTTGACGTAAGAATTTTATGAATTTGCAACATCACACAAAAATGTCACAGATAATATATGGAATGACAGTGACACCTCGAGGTACGAGCGTCCCAACATACGAGTATTTTGAGATACAAGCAATACTTTGAGCAACTTTTTGCCTTTTTGACATATGAGTAAAGATTTGAGATACGAGCTTACAGTGGCCGAGCACTCGGAGCAGCCCACGCCGCCTCACTCGTTCACCTCACGTGTTTGTCGACTTTCGTACGCATCTCCTGCGAGTTTTCCGTATTGTGTTTGCGTTATCTACGTGATTTTCTCTCTGTTTTGTGGCTTATTCTCCATAATAGTGATGAGTCCTAAGAAAGTGAGTGGTGAGGATGGTGGTGAGAAGAAGAAACACATGATGGCCATGGAAATACAGCATAGAATTGTCGATAAATATGAGTGGTTTCCGCTAAAAAAATAGAAAAGTAAAAAAATATATATGTAAGTTAAGTTAATTCTAGGTTTATGTTACTAACACAACAACTACAAATACGTGTACCATATTCATACCTATACCTCCAAACATACAGTAACTTCAACCTCCCTATGTACAGTACCCATGCATTTACACTAGGGGTCACCAAAGTGGTGCACAGGGGCACCTGTGTTCTATGTTTTATTGTACTGTTACTGTGGGGTTTTTTTTTTTTAATCATTTACACTTACAATGATATTCAAATGAGTGCGATGGTATTAGATAAGAAGATTGTCTTCTACATTCTATGTCCCAGAACTTATTATTATTACTTTGTTGGGGAAGTTTGTATAAAACAAGTAGCTCTTTTAATACTAAGTGTCCTTGAAGTGGCTCTCGGTGACGGTGACCCGGATCTACAACAAACAACCTGCCTCTGTAAACACGACATTAGGAAACTATATTTCTCCTTACACTCGTGTTAGGAGAAACACATAACATTTATCATATTTAATTTGACAAATTCCGAGCTGTATGGTAATTACAACAAAAATAAATAAATCTTGAGGCGTGAGAATATGGCTAAATGACATGGCTAAGGTACGCTACGGAATCAAGTGTCGAGGTTTCACTATATATAATATTTGTTCTGGCTGTCATATTCTAGAAAGTTACTAAATCATTGTTTTTAAACTAATTAATGGAAGTGTGCACTCTCGTGGCGTGCTAATGTGCCGTGGTTGGCGATCACTGTCCTGAAGATGAAATGATTAATAGTTTTTCAGAACTCAGTTTAAAGGCTTTGGCCGTCTTCTTTTTCAGAACTCCAAATATGGTTCCAGGGAATTCTGAGTCTGATATGAAATGTGTATGAAAGCTGTTGACTTTGTTTGTAGCCTGAGGCGAGTTGTTGTCAGTATGAATTTATTCATGGGGTTCATGTGAGTAAACATAAACAATATTTATGTATTTGTGAAAACATGCGTAGAGTGAAAATCGCAGCAAGGGAGAAAATCACTTGAGATGTTTGGGAACGTTGTCCCTTTAATTAAACAACAAATCGGTCGGGTTTTCATCATCACTGCTTTTGAATTGATGTCCCATCAATACTGCAGCTGATAAAGCAGCAGGAGCTGAAAAAAGAAAAAGAGCTAACACGATAAACCTGATGCTTCAACATCTAACAACACAAAAACCTTAGATTTAAAGTGCTATAAAACACAAAGGCTAATCAGCTGCAGTAAACGAGCAGCACGGCCGTCTTTCTTCCACTGAAACCTAGTTTCATTTTCAATTCAGACGCAGGGCAAACAACGGCGCTGTGACAAGCAGTGGCTAAAAGCCGCCGTCTATGTTTCATAAATAATAAATAGGTTAATCTGACGAGAGAGCAGCAGAGCAAAACCAGAGAAACAAACAAATAAGAAAAGAGTCAATATTAGAAACATAATCTGATTATTGTTAATAGAAACTGCTCACGGGCAAAGAAAAGAGATTTACAGTTTAATGGAAAACGCTGACAGCCAAAGTCTAATACACCAGTGTGTTTAGCAAGAAGTGTAAATGTAACGAAACTTGAAACAAATGTGCCTTTTTCTGTGTACGATGTCTCGCACCAAAGTCTATAAAGAAAATAAAAGTGGCTTTTAGAATCCACACAAAAACAAAGAAGTAATGCACCGGTGGTCTGAGGTTTAGATTTCTTATTTGCATTTTACGATTTATAAATTACTGTTTGAAATCCATTGATGTACTTTAACAAAATGGCCACAGGAGGCAGCAGTAGACCAGCAGCTCCTGTGCACTAAAAATCACATGTTACCTTTCTGGAGTTTAGCGTAGGCTCCTGTGCACTAAAAATCACATGTTACGTCTATGGAGTGTAGCGTAGTACAGTGAGTACTTTATTAACATACAGTACGATTATTGTTTTACGATCACAGAGTAGAATAAAATGAACCAAAGAGTAACTAAGAAAAAGACGTACTAGCCTTTATATATATATATATTAAAAGTAGCTAAAAAGAAAAGCAAGAGGTTAAAAATGTACTGCAGAAAAACGCTAACAGTAGCAAATCTGATGGTGAGCCTAAAAATAGTAAACCTAGGTTCTTTGACGTTATCGCAATATTAGCTTAATATACACAAACGTTTTTGCTTAAATTCATAAAATGAAAATTAGCAAAACAAAAAAAAATTAAACAGGGCTAGCATATGCGTATGCTATCGTATGGCATAACGAGCAGAAGTTTGCAAGAAAATAAGCAGAGATAGTTTAATTTTTGAAATGCGTAGTTAGCACTTAGTAGCCTAGCAATAACAAATGTAATAGCAGCAGTTAAGAGAAGTTCTTTGATTAATTCTTCATACCATTATCAATTTTTTTTAACAAAAAAGTATATAACCTAATTATATGGGTTTGCCCAAGTGACATAAACTGACCACAGGAGGCAGCAGTAGACAAGACACACCTGTGAAAACTTTCTAAAACTTTGTAAACTGTTAACCTAAGCAAAATTAGTTAAGAAAATGATAACTTTCACAAACCTAGCCTACAGATTCTTGTTTTCCCCATGTATTTTTCAATTCAAAATGACCTTAAGAAAACAAACTTACCACCGGGGGCAGTGGTGAAACGGCGCACCTCCACACCTGATGGCCTAATTGTGGATTTTTTTTAAAAAGTATGGGCGTGATCACCGGTTTCCTGGTCGTCTGATCATGAAAAAAAAAAACCCAACCGATCTTTAAATATTGGAGACTTGAACCGATGCAGTGATTAATGACCGGCTCAGTCTTTTGTTGAACCGTTCAAATCCATGTGTTTTCACGTCTAATGTCACAGGAGCGTCAGCTGATACCGTTCACTTGATACGGCTTTGTGGTGAACAGAACAGGCATCCAGGGTGGATAAAATATTCAGTCGCAGCCGTAACGAATGCGAACGCAAAACTGAACGTGCACACCCACCCACCCACACACACCCACGTGCACGTGCACGGCGTCCAGAAATAATAAATGTATCAGCTCTCAGTCTGTTTCCCATCAGCACCGTGGGGAAGAAACCTGATGTGGAAACAAGGCTGCAGCAGATGCTTATGGGAAATTCATAAGGAGGAAGTGTGTTCTGTGTTTCTCTTTGTGTGTGTGTGTGTGTGTGTGTATATTTGTAAGAGAGAGTGACACACACACACGGTGTGTGAGTTAATCAATGTCGTGGATGTGAAGCTCTGACCTTTTCTGGTTGAGCCACCTGCTGCTGCAGAAAAAAAAGAAAAGAAAAAAGATTCTGCGGTTTGGTGTGTTTGTGTGTGTGTGAGTGGTGTGTGTGTGTGTGTGTGTGTGTGTGTGTTCCAGTCTACTCCAGAGACGGACCTCGGGTCTAAAAACCACTTAATTAACGACAGCTGGTTTAAATGTTGAGCTGTGACTAAGGATTATTCTGACATTTCTCTCTCACTTGCCGTCGTCTCACACTGCCGTCGTTTCCTCAATTATTTAACGAACCTTTTGCCATGAAAACATAAAATATATATATTTTTTTGGTATTTTTACACCAAACTCAAAAATGATAAACGGCCACTCTTTCATTGGATTATAGTTTGTTCCGGTCATTGGTAACTGGACTTGAATTCACGTTGGAGGTCAGTGAAGTTGGTCACAAAAAATAAAAATAAAAATCGTATTTTAAAAGTGCAAATTTACAATTTTATGGATGACGATGGTAAAATAGTTTACGTTGATAAGATGTAAAATGTGTTTCACGCTTGAAGTACAATTGTAATAAATAGTGCGTTAGCTTCCTGTAGTTGTAGCTGGTGCCTAGTTTACCCTGTTAAAAATTATTTTTATTTTTATCTTTTTTTATGTATTGTTTAAAATTTCCTTTTTTATTTGTCAAAGCGCCACCTGTTACAAAATATTTTTATTTTTATTTTTTTTATGTATTGTTTCCTTTTTTATTTATTATGTAGTATTTATCTTCTGGAATTTTCTATTGATTCATATGTCCATATTTTGTTAATTTGTTTTTCAATTTCTTTTCAACTTTTTTTGTAGCTACTGGTCGTTATCGTCAAACGCATGTTTACGTGTTTTCACACGATCGTAGGAGGTTGTTGTTGGTCCAGGGCCCCAAAGTCCTGGAGCACCACTGTTGGCGATGATTAGCTTTCTTCAGTTTCATTGGTCAGTGAAGGGAACCTACGGCTGCGTCTTGTGACATACAGTCAGTTTGTGTCGTTAGATCGCGATTTCCGTAGAAACAAGCGCATCGGACGTGAGTGAATGAAATCTCTGTCTGGAGTGAGCAGCCGTTGGTTGTTCTCTCCATTACATGAAGGGAAAACATTTGGTTCCACAGATGAACCCGTTTGGTACATGTGTGTATTTGTACTGAACTGTTCGAGATGAATCCACCGAATACTCTTACAGTCTTAGTGGTAGTCGCTGCAGAGAGCTGAGGTCTCTGTTTCTCCTCCTCCTCCTCCTCCTCCTCTCTAACAGATTCTCTCTTTATCTCATCCCTCTTAGGTTTCCCTTCATCGCAGTTTATTATTCATACTCCTGTCTCCATATTTTCCTCCTCCGTCTCCTCCTTCTCTTCTCTCTGCTCCTTTTGTCTTCTTGTTTTCACTTCTGTCACCTCTTCATCTTCCTCCTCTTTACTCTGGATTTTTTGTACGTTCTGTTTTTTAACCCTCTTAAAAATCTTGTTCCGATCTCTTCCACAGTTACCTGGCTGTGACCCAGTTCAGTCCCATCCACGCCAGGAAGGCCTTCCCCTGTTTTGACGAGCCCGTCTACAAGGCCACGTTCTCCCTGACCCTGCGTCACGACCAGCAGTACACCTCTCTGTCCAACATGCCTGTGGAGAGGACTGTGTCCGAGGAAGATGGCTGGGTGACCAATCACTTTGCCCGAACCCCTCGGATGTCGACCTACTACTTGGCCTGGGCTGTGTGCAACTTCACCTACAAGGAGACCACGACAGAGGGCGGCATCACGGTCAGTCCCCCCAAAAAACAGACACAAACACAGAGGCTTGACAGGAATTCGGGTTTTACTGTGATTTCTCTGGTGCTGCTTTAGCCAATCAGGTGTTTGATTTGGTCAGTGGTTCCTAAACATCCTCTGCGCAACCTTTGGTTCATAAGAACATTTTTGCAACCCCCCCCAAAAAAACCCAGGACACACTCATGTTTTGTTTTCAGACCTGTTTATTTCACATATTTTAATGCTAACTCTTTTTACGCCTTTTTGCGCCTTTTACCTTAAACCTGTCCATTTTATGCTAGCATCGCCAACGTTGGTCAGTTGGCAGGAGTGAGATTTTGGGTATGGGGAGAGTCGGGGGATGTCGGCCTCCTTTGCAATATTATTATCAGATATTCATTTCACACCGTCTATTCTTAGACCAAGTGTCTGGACGAAATTGCGAAAGTGCAGTATCTTACTCCGACCAGCAGGTGTTCAGGTCTTGAACAGTTTTCTAAACCTGTCGGTTCAAATTCTGGACCTGCCGTGAAGCGAGAGTCTAGACCTGTACATCCCATCATCCTTCACTGACGGCATCATTTAAACGGAGAAATATGCAGAAGCACGGAGAGGCATCGATGTTCTCGCGCAAGGACAAACACATGCACGACCTTGTTCCCCCTCCTCCCTCCATCATCTCTCTATCAGTGTAATTACAGCTCATCCATCTCTGCTGCCACAAACTCAAGGACGACTCGCGCACGCGCACAGACGCACGGGAAGGCCGGCGTCTCACTGTTAGTGGGAGATAATTTTTAGAGAAATGCAGCCTTAATGACTAATGATATCTGGGCCATTGACAATGGTAAACATTACACCACCCTGTGTGTATGAGAGAGAGACAGAGAGAGACAGAGAGAGAGAGTGTCTGTGGGAGCAGGGGTATTACTGTGGTGTCACTCAGACTTGTTGGCTTTGGTAATGAACAAATTCATCTTTATTTTTCTTCCTGTTACCTTCCTAAAATAACTTTTGTTGTTGCGCCTTTGTTTTTCCAACTAATGAGCAAATCTGTGCTGTTTGTCATTTTCCTTCTTATTCAGTCGGCGCCGACAAAAGTGACAAATGTACAAGTCATTTTTTACAGCATAGTTTTTTTTGTTAAGTCAACAGTTTGACCAGAGACATTTTTTCAGTCCTGAAATTAGCGACGTTCCTTTCCCCCCGATGAAGGATTCACTGCTACCTAACACGAGGAAGTAACATGTAGTTTTGTGTGACAGAAATGAAAAAGTCCTTTGTGCCTTTATATTCGTTTAATACAATATTCGCTACGAATCGACACTAGTTTCGCTCAACATTTGCGTTCTCCCTGCGAAGTAATGCTCGATCTCTGTTTCCGTTTCCGATCCATAGTGTAGCCGGTAGCATGCCTGCCTTTGAAACAGAGAGTCTTGGGTTCGATTCCCAGAGGAACCACATGCTTGGCGCTGGCTAGGGGCAGCATATCTGCTGCTAACACAACAATTTCCCAAATATGGGATCAATATAGTACAAATTTATTTATTTTTAAATGAATCCAGCTCAAGATGGAGGTTTCTTTCCCAAATTTGGGAGCAAAGATGTAAAAAGTACTCTGGGTTTCGCTCCGCGTGTGTGTGAACAAAAACCTCAAACTTCAAATCCGCATCACTTTCATTAATACTCGCTCGCACCTATTTCCCACCCGATGCTGTCTCTCCAGTCTCCTACTGGCAGATCGCGGCTCGAATTCAATTATTTTTCAAACTCGATCAGTGCGACACATGCTGCGTTCATCGTTATCCATATTGTAAGGATTAAAATTCCCACATATCCTGTGAATTCCCGGCGTGCCTTTCACATGAAACCATGTGTGTGTCAATTTATAAATCACGCAATATTAACGCACACGAAGAGGTATCGAGTGAACAGCGAGTCTCACATTAAAAGTCCGTGTGAACACAAAAGTCCGTTCACTGCGCTGTATAAACCACAGGATCGTCTGCGTATTAACGAACATAGGAGTCGATTGGTTTATTCCAGAACAATGCAGAAGGAAGTGGCAAAGGCTACTTCCTCTAGTGACTGTACATGCAGTGACATGTCAAACACACCCATATATACATACACACCGTACATCAACCTGTCTGTTGACTTATCATCACAACATCAGGTGGCTCCACAGTGAGTAATCATTGGACGTGATCAAACATCACGGTCGGAGGTTTGTCCTTTGGTGTTCCGTCTCTTTAATCGGATGAGCTGCAGACGTGTCCGTGTTTGGATTTACAGCGTCGTCGGTGGGCAGATCAACAAACGCCGAGTAGATGAAGGAAATGTGGGCTGAAGGATGGAAGGATAATAAGGAGAAGTTAGTGTGATCTGCTAATGTCATCATCACACACACAGGCTTAATCCTCTCCTTGTTTGTTTATCTGTATTATATTGTACGAGACGTTTAATCCTCCCTGAAGGGAACGCGTCTCATTAAAGATGAGATGCGACAGCGGGAAGACAAAGAAACACCCTGAGAAATCACAAACCACTGGGGAGACGGCGGTGTTAGAAAGAAACATCTACAGGCAAAGTGACACGTCTTTGTTGTTTACCACATTCCGTTGTTTTTATATAAATTTATATTTGATATGTTTCTAATCAGCCAGCACTACAACATGGACTATACTTGGTTTGTTTGTAGAATTTGTCTTGTTTTTTTGTTTTTTTTTGTACGGAACAAGTCTGTGGTCTGATGTGGTCGGATCCTTCTGGGCTGTACAACAAAGACTCGCAGACTTGAACAATGATAACTGAGAAACTACAGAATGGAATCAGAATACGCCGGGCGCTCGGCTTACTTTGGAGTTCCGTTTCTATGGTCCAACGTAACTAGATTTTTGCGTAAATTGGAACCTATGCTAACACAGTAGTACCATCAGAATCCAGCAGCGTCGGACTTTGTCTCGGAGCCATAATGAAGGGCAAAACGTTCCCAAAAAAACATCACTAACAAAAGAAAGCGAATGTAGCGCAGTCCAATGTATGACGTACAACCGGCGAATTTGACGACGTATTTGACAATCTACAATTCTCCAATCAGCTCTTGTCCGAAATGAGTTTTAATGCCATTTGTCGGAATGATGGAACAAGACTTTATTAACAAATTTATGGCTGTAGGAACTTTCACTTCTCCATCAGTCGGCCACAGTAAATATAAAAAACCTTGAGGACATGACTCAACTTTTCTTGAAAAATTGGAGTCTGGCTCCAAGTCCCGGGCTCTTGACTTGGATTGCTCGAATTGTTTGTCAATATCTTGGCCTGGGTTCGGAAACTGTGGGGAATTCAACTTTAATCTAACTTTCCTCCGTGAGTCGGCCTTGGGATTGGGCTGGATTCAAGCTTCTCTTCTGGGACTCGGGCTCTAACTGAAATCCTGAAGACTTAACTTAAGTTGTTTAAGCCTCAAAAAGTGTGCCTTCTCAGGTCGAAGAATAAAAAAGTAATCAAAGGGAATCCAGTAAATATTTCAGAACGACACATTTTCTTGATTTAACAAAGTGCGGTCGTGTCTGAGTGAAGTAATACACGTTTGTTTTTCTGCCTATTTTTTTATATACTGTACTCTACAAAGATGTGGAGGAAAGTGGACCAGTAGGGTGGAGGGGGGGCGGG